GATTTTCCCACGATAAGAATTCCTATGCCTTAGCTTTTGCAGTATTTCTCTGCAAAGGAGCTAGGATGACCTAAACATTCCTGTCTTCACTCTCGGAGCTATACAAATCATGCTTTTTGATATACTCCTGGACAAGGTCTGGTACTAAGTAGCGAATGCTCTGGGCCCTTCTGAGGCTCTCCGGATCTTTGTGGACGAGATGTCATTGGTGATCCATTCGTTCACCAGGTGGATGTTGCTCCGGTGTTTCCACAGCACATCAGATTCGTAGATGAACTTCTGAGCGTCACTTCCGGCCCGAGTGATACAGATGAGCCCGTAGTCTGCGACAATCTGGGCGATATCCTCACTCTTCCACAAATTGGGAACCCCAAAGGACTCTAATAAATCTGCCCCAAACAGCAACCTTACCTTTGCCACACCTGAGAAGAAGAATAAAACAGAGCGTCAGGGTTTGCTTTTCTTTTTTTATTTTATTTTTTTTATTTTTTTAATTTTATATTTTTAAGACGGGGTCTCGCTCTTGCTCAGGCTGGTTTTGAACTCCTGACCTTGAGCAATCCGCCCGCCTCGGCCTCCCAAGAGCTAGGATTACAGGCGTGAGCCACAGCGCCCGGCCCGGGTTTTCTTTTCTTTTCTTTCTTTCTTTCTTTTGAGACAGAGTCTCACTCTGTTGCCTGGGCTAGCTAGAGTGCCATGGCATCAGCCTAGCTCACAGCAACCTCAAACTCCTGGGCTCAAGCGATCCTCCTGCCTCAGCCTCCCGAGTAGCTAGGACTACAGGCATGCGCCACCATGCCTGGCTAATTTTTTCTATACATGTTTTAGTTGTCTGGCTAATTTCTTTCTACTTTTAGTAGAGATGGGGTCTCGCTCTTGCTGAGGCTGGTCTCAAACTCCTGACCTTGAGCAATCCTCCCGCCTGGGCCTCCCAGAGTGAGTGCTAGGATTTCAGGCATGAGCCACCACACCTGGCCAGAGTTTACTTTTCTAATAACCCCCTGCATCGAAATCAACGTGCCTTTGTTTTTTCTGGGAATGAGGGTTATAGTTTTTATCAGATTCAGATTTCCAAAAGAGATCCAGGACACCTCAAAAGTTAAAGGCCACTGTAGGAGATATGAGCTCAGGGTGCCTTCTACTCTTCCTTCTTCAAAAACTAACAAAAGGGGCATCCCCAGGCACCCACATGTATGGAATACACAATGAAAATACAAAGGGGGTTTGTTCAGCTCTAGAAACTTTTAAATTCCAGTCTGAGAGTCCTGATAAAGACACTTACCTTTTGTTTGGGGATCTAGGGATTTCTTTGGACTGGAATCTTGTCTTTGTTCAGCCCACTTCCTCTTCCGCCCAGGCCTTTCTAGCATAGGTGAGTTCTGCTGCTGGTCACAGTTACTAGCCTCCAGCTTCTCTTGATGGTGCCTATAAAATGACAAGACAACAGAACTTCTCTTTCGTCAATGCTTCACTAAAATATCACTAACAAGACTTAATGTTCTATAAATAGAAAGAAATTAATTGGCCAACTAATATATATATAGAAAAAATTAGCCGGGCATGGTGGCGCATGCCTGTAGTCCCAGCTACTCGGGAGGCTGAGGCAGTAGGATCGCTTGGGCCCAGGAGTTTGAGGTTGCTATGAGCTAGGCTGACGCCACGGCACTCACTCTAGCCTGGGCAACAAAGCAAGACTCTGTCTCAAAAAAAAAAAAAAAAAGACTTAATGTTATTTTTTACATGCCACACACTACACTAAATCCTTCACATGGGTTATCTGATTAAACTTCACCACACCCCGTATCATAAATACAGAGTCACCGGAACACAAGAAGTGGTTAATATTTTTTTTTCCTTTATTGAGACAGGGTCTCACTCTGTTGTCCTGGCTAGAGTGCAAGTGGCATCATCATGGCTCACTGCAGCCTCAAACTCCTAGGCTCAAATGATCCTCCTGTCTTAGTATCTCAAGTAGCTGGGAATAGAGGTGCGTACCACCACGCCCGACTAATTTTTCCATTTATTTTAGAGATGGGGGTCTCACTATGTTGCTTAGGCTGGTCTCGAACTCCTGGCCTCAAGTGATCCTCCCGCCTCAGCCTCCCAAAGTGCTAGGATTACAGGCATGAGCCACCACATCTGGTGGCATTCCATAACAATTTAACTGACTGAATGTTTTAGTTATTACAAAGTAACTGTACTGTTGCCACTTTTACATCAGAATTGTTTATTACCCTCATTGAGAGAGGAGGACAGTGACTAATGTGCCCAAGGTCAGTGAGCTTACAAGCCGCAGAGCCAGGACTACAGGTATGCACCACCGTGCCCAGCTAATTTTTTTCTATTTTTAGTTGTTTGGCTAATTTCTTTCTATTTATAGTAGAGATGGGGTCTCACTCTTGCTCAGGCTGGTCTTGAACTTCTGAGCTCAAGCAATCCTCCTGCCTTGGCCTCCCAAAGTGCCAGGATTATAGGCGTGAGCCACTGTGTCTGGCCTACTCTGGTTTCTGAACCCTTAACTGGAACTGTTTTGAAGGTATGAGCACAGAGATTGGCGATTGCCCCCATGCTGTCAGGCCTGTCCATGCTCAAGCAACACTTGATGCTTCTCTTCCTTAAATTACCTGCCTCTCTCTTTTATACCTAGAAGACTGATGACAGTAACATCCTTTTACAAGTCTGCCTATCTCATTTGGGGCCCAGACAGGCTTCCTTTATTTTCTAATAGATACCGCACAGCAACAAGCATGCAAACATCTCAGAACATAATGAAAGACGCAACAGCTAAGGAATACCTATCCTCTGTTGGTGTGCTCTGCACCTTCCATGGAAATGACACAGCTTCCGCCTTTCCAACTCCAGCGACAATTTTACAAATCTGTATGTTTACAGATGTAGGCAGTATTGACACATGGCAAAAAGACAAGAAAGCTTCCCACCCATTTCCACAGAACCCACAAAGCTGGTTTCACCATAAATACCTTAGCACCTTAACAGTCTCCACCCACTCCTTCTGAAGACTTTCCCAGGTGTCCACTTCCACCCATTTTGAATTCTTAGTGGCCAGTTCTGCCATGATGACTCGGTGATGGGCAGGGATGAGCTCTTTCTTATTATACGCATCACCAACAGGAGAAATTATGCCTTTGATAACTTTGTACTTTCCTGGATAAAGAGATTTGATATTAGATTTAATGCACAGCGAATATTATGATTAATATTGGTTTATAATCACAGATTCTTTTTTGTAAAGAGGAATTTAGGTTAATTAATTGATTGATCTACTGATTCATTGTGGTAAAACATACATAAAATTTACCATTTTAACCATTTAAGGGTACAACTTTGTGATATTAAGTACATGTACAAGTACAATGTAAGTACAACCATCAATAACATCCATTTCGAAAACTTTCTCACCTTCCCCATCTGAAACTTTACTCATTAAACACTAACTCCTCATCCCTCTGCAGTTTAAATTTTGATTGCTACTGCCACCAAATTACTTTGTAAGAAACCTTAATCAATTTGTATTGTCAACCTAGAGTGTATGTACGCAAGAGCTCATTTCTCTCGAACTTCTGATACTTAACACTACTAAGTTTTAAAAGTTTTGTCAATGTGATGGGCAATATATCTATCATTTCTTATGTTATTTAAAATTTTTTTTTAATTTATCTTTTTAAATAATGTAATATTTAAATAAATATTTCCTAGGCTAGAGTGCAGTGGTGAAATCATAGTTCACTGCAGCCTTAAACTCCTAGCCTTAAGCAATCCTCCTACCTTGGCCTCCCAAAGTGCTGGGATTACAGGTGCATGCCACCATGCCCAGCTAATTTTTAAATATATCTTATAGAGATAAGAAGGCTTATCTAATTTTTAAATATATCTTATATCTTATAGATATAGAAATATATCTTATAGAGATACATCTTATAGAGATCTTGAATTCCTGGTCTCAAGTGATCTTCCTGTCTCTGCCTCCTAAACTGCTGGGATTACGGGGATTAGCCACTGCACCCAGCCCCCTATTTTATACACATATTTACTCTGTAACAACATATTTAGTCTTTTATAATGAACATATGAGGGCTGTCTGGAAAATATCAAGCCATTGCATCCATGTATCCATTGTATCCAGGGCTGGATACTTTCCCGATGGCTCTCATGCACACAGTGACCATGAAGTCTGGAAACAGGGGCATATACATAATAAGTGGTTTATTAATACTGTATTACAGTATATGTAAAATGATATTATACATACTTTATGGCCACCCTTCATTCATATATATATATATATTTTTTTTTTTGAGACAGAGTCTCACTTTATTGCCCAGGCTAGAGTGAGTGCCGTGGCGTCAGTCTAGCTCACAGCAACCTCAAACTCCTGGCTCAAGCAATCCTCCTGCCTCAGCCCTCCAAGTAGCTGGGACTACAGGCATTCGCCACCTGCCGGCTAATTTTTTTGTTATATATTAGTGGCCAATTAATTTCTTTCTATTTATATAGTAGAGAGCGGGTCTCGCTCTTGCTCAGGCTGGTTCGAACTCCTGACCTCGAAGCAATCCCCGCCTCAGCCTCCCAGAGAGCTAGATTACAGGCATGAGCCACCTCGCCGGCGTTCATCATATATTTCTACAAAAACTTAAAAAGGTAGTCTGTGACTGATTCTAGAAGTCTTAATGTACGCTAAGGTAAGGGTTTTCACTCTCTGCCTTAATAAATGGGAAACTCCTGATATAAGAATCGTGGTTGGGGGTGCAGAATCAAATTTTCTATTTTTTTTTTTTTTTTTTTTTTTTTGAGACAGAGTCTCACTGTTTGTTGCCAGCTAGAGTGAGTGCCGGTGGCGTCAGCCTAGCTCACAGCAACCTCAAACTCCTGGCTCAAAGCGATCCTGCTGCCTCAGCCTCCCCGGTAGCTGGACTACAGGATGCACCACCATGCCCGGCTTTTTTTGTATATATACTTTTAGTTGGTCAATTAATTTTTCTCTTTTTAGTAGAGACGGGGTCTCGCTCAGGCTGGTTTCGAACTCCCGACCTTAAACAATCCGCCCGCCTCGGCCTCCCAGAGTGCTAGGATTACAGGCGTGAGCCACCGCCCCGGCCAAATTTCTATTTAGAAAGCCTTTAGGGCTGGTCGAAGGTAGTGAGTTATCTCACCGTGATTGTTCACAGTCAGTTACAGATTGAACTCCTTGTTCTACTACTTTCCCCCCTCCTCACTACTGCACTTGACTAGTCTTTAAAAAAAATAAAAATAAAAAAAAGCCCTTTGGAATAATGTGGATCAAAAATCATTGGGGAGAGAGGGAACAGACTGAAGTCAGGAAGATCAGCAGGACACTTCCAACAGTCCAGCTAGATGTGCTTTAACTTTATAAGCAGCAAATGCTTACTTTGCTGCTTTCCCTCTTCCTTTACTCTACAAGTCACTGAAGAGGAGAAACAGTATTTATATACACGCACAGATATAAAACTGGTATGTGAGTGAATCCCTGGATGAAGTGGAATTATAGAAGCAATGTTTTAACTATTCTGTTTGTAAAAAAAGAAGTAAAAGTAATGTTGTTTATGGAATAAGAAAACTGAGGTTTTTTTTTTTTTTTTTTTTTTTTTTGACAGAGTCTCCCTTTGTTGCCCAGGCTAGAGTGAGTGCCGTGGTGTCAGCCTGGCTCACAGCAACCTCAAACTCCTGGGCTCAAGCAATCCTTCTGCCTCAGCCTCCTGAGTAGCTGGGACTACAGGCATGCGCCACCGTGCCTGGCTAATTTTTTCTATATATATTAGTTGTCCAATTAATTTCTTTCTATTTATAGTAGAGACGGGGTCTTACTCTTGCTCAGGCTGGTTTCGAACTCCTGACCTTGAGCAATTCACCCGCCTCGGCCTCCCAGAGTGCTAGGATTACAGGTGTGAGCCACCACACCGGGCCAGAAAACTGAGTGTTGAGGATTGGAAAATCATTATTGTTTCTTCTACTAGACTCTAAATATATAAATCTGTTATTTTTTTATTCTCTAAGCTATTAGTCAGATGCTCAATTCTTCCCTGATCATACCTTGCCCTCTTTCTTGGCTAAGTCCCTATATAAGGGAGTAGGACAGCATGTTTGTGGCCAGCTGCTCAAATGTATACTCTGAAACAGAACTATCCTTATTGATTCTATAGTCTTAAGTTGCTTTTGGTTACTTGTTCCTACCTGTTCCATTCAGGTAGTCCTTGGCCAGCTCAAACAACCTGAGGTGCATGTTGGTGACAGGATTAAAGGAACCACAAGCAAGGAGAACCACTTCTGTCTTCTCCGAATTTTCCATGGCAGGAATTTGAAGTGTTGATCTAAATGGAAAACGGGGACACCTCCCTTGACGTCTACAAAGGAAAAAGAAAATAAGTTGAGTTACAGATCTTTTGAAGTCCTTCCATGTTCTCATTTCAAACAGATGAATAGAAATATTTGGGGCCGGGCGCGGTGGCTCATGCCTATAATCCTAGCACTCTGGGGAGCCCAGGCGGCGGATTGCTCAAGGTCGAGTTCGAAACCAGAGCTGAGCGAGACCCGTCTCTACTAAAATAGAAAGAAATTAATTGACCAACTAAAGTATATATACAAAAATTAGCCAGGCATGGTGTGCATGCTGTAGTCCCGTACTTGGGAGGCTGAGGCAGAAGGATCGCTTGAGCCAGGAGTTTGAGGTTGCTGTGAGCTAGCTGACGCCACGGCACTCACTCTAGCCTGGGAACAAAAGTGAGACTCTGTCTCAAAAAAAAAAAAAGAAAAAAAAATATTTGGCTTCAATATTATGCTGAATGGACTGTAAAAAGGCTCCATTTTCCACCTCTCCGTACCATAGAGGATAGAATCTGCTTCCTTACTCTTTGTGACTGCTGGCAAAAGAATGCGGCAAAGGTGACAGTGTGCCAATTCTGAGTCCAGGCCTTAGAGCAGCGGTCCCCATCCTTTTTGGCACCATGGACTGGTTTCATGGAAGATCATTTTCCACGGATGGGGGAGGGAGGGCAGAGCCAGGCGGTCATGTGAGTGAGGGGGAGCGGCTGTAAATACAGGTGAGGCTTTACTCATGCAGCTCCCCTCCTGCTGTCCACCCCTCCACCTCCATCTGTGGAAAGATTGTCTTCCATGAAATCAGGAAGGGCAGGTGGTGCTGGCGGAGCTTTGAGGCCTGGTCCCTAAACGGGCCAATGGACTGGTACCACAGCCTTAGAGGCTTACTCTTCCTCTTTCTTCAGACTGCTGCCTTCTGCACGAGCTAACCTGGCTGGAAGATGACAGAAAGTGTGTGGAGAGAGCTGACAGCTCCAGCAGATAGACACCAACCATTCAATATGTGACCGCAGCCATCGCAGACCAGCCAAACCACAGCCAACCTGCTCAGACGCACGAGCAAGCCCAGGTGGGGTCAACCAAGCTGGCTCAGATCCGCAAACCAACGAGCAGTCCTAGTCTCAAGGAAGAATTGAGGCGGGCGGCTGTGGCTCACGCCTGTAATCCTAGCTCTTGGGAGGCCGAGGCGGGCGGATTGCTCAGTCAAGAGTTCAAAACCAGCTGAGCAAGAGCGAGACCCCGTCTCTACTATAAATAGAAAGAAATTAATTGGCCAACTGATATATATATATTAAAAAAAAAAGAAAAAATTAGCCGGGCATGGTGGCGCATGCCCTGTATCCCAGCTACCGGGAGGCTGAGGCAGAGGATCACTCGAGCCCAGGAGTTTGAGGTTGCTGTGAGCTAGGCTGATGCCACGCGCACTCACTCTAGCCTGGTGCAACAAAGCGAGACTTGTCTCAAAAAAAAAAAAAAAAAAATTGGAAGAATGAATGTTTACTGTTATATGTCATTCGGGTTTTGTGACTGTACTATTGTGGCCAAGAATAACTGATACAGATACTATCTACAAGGTGTGACTCACTAACAACCTGCCTTTCAACAGTATTTTTGCGCTTTTAGTCATATGATCATAATAACATTAATAGTTTATAATATACAAACCTCTTTTTCATATCAATTATTCCAATTGATCCTTCCATAACCCTAATGAAGTAATGCAAGACATCTGATTTTTAAATTTTATAAAAATTTTTAGGCTGGGCACAGTGGCTCATGCCTAAAACTCCTAGCACTCTGGGAGGCTGAGGTGAGAGAATCGCCTGAGCTGAGGAATTTGAGACCAGCCTGAGCAAGAGTGAGAGCCTGTCTCTACAAAAAGACAGAAAAATTAGCCGGGCATGGTGGCGCATGCCTTTAGTCCCAGCTACTTGGGAGGCTGAGGCAGCAGGATCACTTATGCCCAGGAGTTTCAGGTTGTAGTAAGCTGTGATGATGCCATTGTGCTCTAGCCCAGGTGACAGAGCAAGACAATGTCAGAAAGAAAGAAAGGAAGGAAGGGAGGGAGGGAGTGAGGAAAGAAAGAAGGAAGGAAGGAGAAAAGAAAAAAAATAGAAAAGATAAAAAAAATTAGAAGACAGGCTCATGGTGGCATGAGCCACCATGCCCAGCACCTATGGTATTATGGGGTAGCAATGAATGCTATATCCCCACAATACTGTGGGCCCTACAGAGAAATCAGGATATCTGCCAGCCACTGAACATGCTCTCAAGAAGACAGAGCTAATATCTATTAATATAGATATTAGCTCTATATAATAGGCATTTCCAAAGAACAGAGCAAATAGAAGACAGAAAAATCAATGAAATAATTCAACGACATTTTCTGAAACTGAAAGTTGTAAGTTTTGAGATTGAAAAGGCCTGCGGAGTGTACAGCTCAGTGGATGGAAACAGAGCTGTGCTAGAGGACATGTATAATTTCAGAACAGTGGGAACAGAGAGAAGACCTTACAAAGCTTCAAGGCAGGAAAAAAATAAGTAACATTCAGAGGCTCCAGAACCGGAAGTGCCTTTGGATGTCCACTGTTAACACTGGAATCTAGAAGCAGCAGCGCCTTCAAAATTCTGGGAGATGGCTGGGCACGGTGGCTCACGCCTGTAATCCTAGCACTCTGGGAGGCTGCGGTGGGCAGATTGCTCGAGGTCAGGAGTTGGAAATCAGCCTGAGCAAGAGCGAGACCCCGTCTCTACTATAAATAGAAAGAAATTAATTGGCCAACTAAAAATATATAGAAAAAATTAGCCGGGCATGGTGGCACATGCCTGTAGTCCCAGCTACTCAGGAGGCTGTAGACAGTAGGATCGCTTCAGCCCAGGAGTCTGAGGTTGCTGTGAGCTAGGCTGAGACCACGGCACTCACTCTAGCCTGGGCAACAAAGCGAGACTCTGTCTCAAAAAAAAAAAGAATTCTGGGAGAAGATGATTTTCAACATGCACTAGAGGGAAACTATACTGGGAAGTTTGGGAGAGGGTAGTGAGGAGGTATGAGAGCTAATCCTCATGGATCACAAAAGAAAGTCAATAGATGATTTAATTTAATAATTGGATAAATTAAGAAATAGCATTATAAGCACATAATATAGAGTTATGGTAAAATCTACCAGTAGAAATAGCTGAAAAAGTTAAAAGTGGGAGCTGGATGGAGGGTTCAAAGAAGTTTTCAGAGCAACGGAATAAACACAGGATTCTAGAAAAACACATGACATGGGTGTTAAAACCCTTATTTGATTTCGTGAGCTTGATTCAATCATTTAACCCTGTCTTTCATTTCCTCATCTGTAAAATGGGGATAATGAGAAGACCAATCTCAGTCTTTGGTTTTTGCTTTTCTTTTTTGAGACAGGGTCTCATTTTGTCTTCCAGCCTAGAGTGCAGTGGCATGATCACAAGCAACTACTAGGGCTCAAGTGATCCTCCTGGCTCAGTGTCCTGAGTAGCTGGGACCATAGCTGTGCATCCCTATTCCTGGCTAATTCTGTTTTTTTATTTTTTGTAAAGACAGGGTCTTGCTATGTTTCTCAGTCTGGTCTTGCCTCGGCCTCCCAAAGTGCTGGGATTACAGGCATGAGCCACCATGCCCAGCACCTATGGTATTATGGGGTAGCGATGAATGCTATATCCCCACAATACTGTGGGCCCTACAGAGAAATCAGGATATCTGCCAGCCACTGAACATGCTCTCAAGGACTGTGGTGGAGGGGCTGGGTTCAATCCCAGCCACACTATCTCAGGTTTCAGGTGACAGTCCCCAGAGAGTGAGATGGAAGAATGGTGAGGCTGAGGTCACGAGGTGTGGGTCCTCAAGGGAGCTGCCTGTGGTCCTGAAGCAGAGTTCAGGGAAGGATGGAACAAAGAGCTTGAGCTCTGTCCTGGGGGATGAGCTCAAGTTTCCAGGTGATTCCCAAGGGATGGGGAGGGGCTGGGGAAGCTGATCTCTCAGCATAAAGGAAGCTCTTTCCTCCCTGTCATGTTCATAACCTGTCTCAAATATCCAGCGCAGTTCCACTAATTCACTGTGAACACAGCCAACTTGAGTTCAGACTAAGCCACAAAAGAGTTACGGTTACAGTGAGCTCCTAGTGTAGCCCAAGGTAGGTTTAAAAGAACTAGAATCTTCCAAAAAAAGAACTAGGATCCGTTCCTCCCCAAGGGAAAGTACTTCCTCTGTATCCCTGCCAGGGGTGTGTGTGTGTGTGTGTATGTGTGTGTGTGCGTGCGTGTGTGTGTGTGGTGTGTGTGTGTGTGTGTATGTGTGTGTGTGGTGGGGGGCACACAGCAGGTGATGAATGGGTGCAGGAGTTTGGAAGCTCTAACAGGACTGCCCTGGATCCTCCTTGCCTCACTCTAGGTGCTCTGGAACCAGCGTCACCATGATTCACTTCTGTTTGGCCCACACAGCCTACCACCTGCACTGCTGGCTGCCAGCAACTCGCCGGCTCAGGCTGTAAGTGTCTCTCCCCAGCTGTGATAATGAGTTAGTTCATTTCTTTCCAAGACAGTTTTGAGGTTTCACCAAAATTTAATTTTAAAATAAATGATCCTTTTAAGTTTTAAAAATATTGAGGTATAAATATTAATGTAACATTTTATAAACATTAAGCCAGTTTTTAAAACATTAACTTTTCAAGAAGAATAGTAACTCTGTTTGGCTTTCTTTGTCACATTTTAGGATGCTCAAGATAATTAAACCTGTGTTGGCTGACTGTTAAATGTGACCTTACTACCTCTCAGAATTTACATCTCTAAAAGGACACTATTCCTTTCAAAATAGTAACTTTAAGCATGTAGCTATATTCTTGTTCCAACAATGCTGCCATTGCTTTAAACACTCTTGGGGGTACATTTTGAAATCGTATATTCATTTGAGTACCTTCACTGGGGATAAATCTTTGTCTTTAGAGGGTATATTTGATTTCTCTAATGCTCTAAAGTTGTTCAGTGATAAACCCAATAAAATAAATAAGGTGAATAATATAGTTTATAGTGAAGAAAAGAGATAGGACTACTAGTTAATGAGGAAGATTTTCTTATGTGACATAGAAACTATATACATGTAATTTAATTTCAAAAATGTTTTGAGCAGTAGTGACAATCTTCATTTGGTTGTGCACGTTGTGGTAGGTAGGTTAACTCTCGCTTTATTAGTTATAGTCAACATGAATCTTCTGGCTGGAGACAGAGCTAGCAGAACCTAAGGGTGTGGCCTCACACCTGGGTTCAAATTCTAGCTGTACCACTTACTACTGGGTGTTTGTCCCTGGACAAGACACTTAAAACTTAACTGAGTCTCAGGCCAGGCACGCTGGCTCAAGCCTGCAATCCCAGCACTTTGGGAGGATATCTTGAGGCTAGAAGTGCGAGACCAGCCTGAGCAACACGGTGAGACCATGTCTCTATGAAAAACTTAAAAATCAGCTGGGTGTGGGGGTGTGCACCTGTAGTCCCAGATACTCAAGAAGTGGAGTCAGGAGGATCGCCTGAGCCTAGGAGTTGAGGTTACAGTGAGCTAGGATCAAACCACTGCACAGGGGCCCAGGTGACAAGAGTGAGACCCTGCTTCAAAAAAACAAAAACAAAAACAAACCAAAAAACTCCAAGTCTCACTTTCCTCATTTATAAAATGGGGAACCACAGTCTCTACCTCATAGGATTTTGTGCATATTAAATGAGATAATGCATGTAAAATGTTTGCTACATTTGTCTAACAATTATGAATATTAATAACTCTTAATATTACTTGTG